TACATATTATACACACACACACACACACACACGTATACACGCAGGCACGCACGCCCACACCAACACTCACACAGTGTACACACACTAAAGACTAAAGTGTGTGTGAACCAAGCAAAGGACAGAATAGTTAACCCTTCTATTACTTCAAACTATTTTCCTCTGCGATAAAAAGTATGAGCACATTGCCTTACCTGTCCTCCATCGTTTTAAGCACAAAAAAGTCTGAAATTAAGCAAACTGAGCCCAAAATTGGAAATTATGCGATTCTGTTAATTTGAACAAAGAATGATACAAGGAAATAATCAGAAATTATGCCAAAAAAATTATCAAATTTTCCTAAATTTTGCAGGGTACATACAACCACGAGGGCAGACTTACACTAGAATCGCAGGAGATCGATTCCCAGACGTTGAGCAAATATTGTGCCTGCCATCTTGATTTTTTAAGGTTTAGCACGACGTTTCCGTTCTACTCGAAGGTCTGTCGCTTTGTTTCCGTCGACAATCTATCGTGGTGTTTCTGTCCAATCTGTTGACAATCTATCGCGATGTTTTATTCCAATCTGTCGACAATCTATCGTGATGTTTCTGTCCAATCTGTCGACAATCTACCCCGATGTTTCTGTCCAATCTGTCGACAATCTATCGCGATGTTTCTATTCTACCTGACGGTCTACCCCCCCCCCCCCGACTAGCCTGACAATTGTTCCTCTTAACAGTTTACTAGTCCACTTCAATCAACAGCCCTGACCCTAAGCTTAATCTTAGCCCTATCCCTAGCCCCAATTCTAACCGTTACCCACACCCTACTAACCCTAACCATCCAGTAGTATAGCTTGCTTCTTGCTTCCCACTTAATTAAAAAAATTATGGTAATCTCTCGTCCTTTTATTTTCAAGTTATTCTCTAGTAATACCTCTTGTCTTCAGCACGGATGTATGGCTTATTTGAGCTGCAAGTGCTGTAAAACTCTTACTGAAACTTTTTAAACAATCCATGTCGCGAAGAATGAACTCAATTGAGCTAGCTGACAACACCACAGCCTCACGCCAGTGGAATGACGTCTTTGGCACAGGCGAAGAGAGGGTTAAAGTAGTGGGCATATTTCAAGACACTTACAAGTATTGCCTCAAGTGCTTTGGGGGTTTGACGTAAAAGAAAAAAGGAAAATTAAGAAAGACGCAACAAGATGATGATGCTTTTGTTTGTGTCGGTGGGAATAGAAATATGTATGGCATTCTTTCGTGGAAAGAAATTATAGTATGTTTGTTCTTTCCAGGGTTTGTTTGTTTGTTTGTTTGACCTTTAATCTTTGGCCTAGATCCTTGTTGCAGAGTCTGCTCAGGTCACAGCGGGTCAGAGAAAACGATGAGGACATAGTGGAGTTAAAGTAGGGAGGGAGGGGAGATAGAGATAGAGAGAGAGAGAGAGAGAGAAAGAGAGAGAGACAGACAGAGAGACAGTGAGAGAGACAGAGAGACAGAGACAGAGACAGACAGACAGACGGAAAGAGAGAGA